GGGGCTCCAAAAAGACGCTCCCGCCCCCACACCCTTTAATCGATTTTGTTGCCGGGGGCTCTTAGCCTAATATCGTTTAGTAAGTCCTAACGAAGCCCTGTACCAAAAATTGTGCTTTTATCCAGCAAATAACGATAGTCGATAAATTTGACTATATTCGGGTATAGCGGCGACTAAATAGCTTTGTAAAAACTTCTTCCTTTCATTTTGTTGTTGTCTTTTCTTGTTCTTTCTTTTCTACACTTTACAATGAATATGTCAAATAACGCTTCAAATAGTAAATGAGCTGAAGAAAGAGACTATGAGCCACTTGCGTAGTTCAATTTCTTTATTTGCGTCTATTGCAAAAGAGTCATAGAGGGCTTTTTCCACTTTAAACAACGGTACGTAGTCTCATAATTCTGTCGCTGTAAAATTGGAAGTAAAATATCCGAAGTAACTGAGACAACCCCTATTTTTTTCTTCAAATTCATCTTAATTTTGTTTTGCAGATGAAAATTTCGGGATGGGTCGCATATCATGATTGTTGAATAATAACAACACTCTCTATCATGATATTTCAAAGTGCATTGTATTTTACGTTTTTATACCAATGGTTTAAAAAAGGTACTTTTCCGCTTTTTCTTGTTAGTGTCATAAACTTATCAATTGGCTTCATTTAAAAGAATTTTTTAACAGTTTTGTTTGTTGCATGATGCCTAATCTGCAAATTATTCATCAGGATAATCTTCCATTTAAAGAAAATTTTGTTCTTCTTGTTTTGACATTTGATCGATGGTCGTCTAATCGGACATATACAAAAGGAGCGGGGGTTCATTAATTTTTTATTAATAACATCAGCTAAAACGGCCTATAGGGCTTACTGCAGAATTATCCAACATCCATGATAATGAATTAGGGTTAGGATTAGGTCAGTGACAGGGGCTGGTTAGAAGTAGGGTTAAGCTAGGATTGGGGTAAGGTTAAGTGTTATGACAAGGGTTAGGGGTATGACTAGGGTTAGGGCAATTTTAGGACTACGGTTGAGGTTACAATTAGTGTTGCTCTGTTCAACCCATGCAGCTCATTTTGGATTACCTAGAAATCCTTTTTTTAAGCAGGTTAAATTTAAGATTAAATAATTTGAAAATATTAATACATTGAGGATTGCCGTCTTTATCCAATTTTGTTTCCCTGATTATCAAAATTAACTATTTTTCAATCAAAATGCAATTGTTGATGAAAAATTCAAAAAAATATCCATACTGCCCCCCCCCCCGTAACACGCATCCAACACAAATTATCCCCCCTTCTGAATTTGATCGCCGTAAAGTCGATCGATCGACACAAATAAGGAAGTGGCGGGTAGCATTTTATTTAAAACATCAGGCAAACTGCAGAATAATCCACCATCAATAATAATGATTTTAGGGTTGAGGTTATGGTCAGGGAGAGGGTTGTTACTGGGGTGAGGTTCAGGGTTTAGAGTTAGGGTTAGGACAAGGGTTAGGACTAGGGTAAGGTTACGGGTTAGATCTAGGGTTAAGGATTATATCTAGGTTTAGGACTAGGGTTAATGTTACAATTAGTGTTACAAATTGGTTTACGTTCAACCCGTTCAGCTCGTTTCGGATGATTTATAAATTCAGTTTTTAAATAGGTTCAGCAAGGATGAATTAATTTGCAAATAGTAATCAATGAAGATTGACCGATCTTGTTTCCCCGATTATCAAAATTAACCATCTTTAATTAAATCTATCATCTTTACTTAAATCTAATTGCAACTTTTAATAAAAAAAAGCATACCCACCGTGCCCCCCGTTAATACACATCCAAGCCCATCCAAGCTCATCCAAGACACATAAACGGACACCAATCCCCCCCCCCCGAGGCCAACTAGCTATAATGACCATTATTCATAAAGACCGCTATTTATTAGGACCATTATTATAAGAACCGCTATTTATAATTTGAGAAAAGGGTAATTATTCATAAGGATAGCTAATCTTAATCGAAGAGTGTCGATATTTATCATTTGAGAAGAGAGTAGCTATTCATAAAACAGAATGAAGGTCGCTCTTTATAATGCGGAATGGGGGTCGCTATTCATAAAAAAAAAATGAATAAGCAACAAAATGACAAGAGAGTTAATTGTTGGCTAGGAGCACCCCTATGGCTGTGGCGTATTTATTATGGAAAGCAACGCTTTTTTCGGATTATGAATATCGACCCTCTTCTCATATTATGAATAGCGACCCTCATTCTGCATTAATTATAAATAGTGCCCCTAAATTTATCTTATGAATAGCGGTCCTAGTGACCCCCAATATAAATTATGAAAAGCGACCCTCATCTCACATTATGAATAACGGTCCTCATGCTTTTATCAATAGTTACCGCCTTCGTGTTTTATATATGCAGTTCGACGTTATGAATAGCGAGATTACCCCCACACCCTCTGGTGTTGAAGATTGGAGGCCTAACCAAATATTGAAAGGGGAAAAGACGGGGGAAAGGGAAAAATCAGAAAATCAAGGAAGATAAGAAGTGGAAGAGAAAGTAAAAAGGAGATGATACGACACCCTACGGGCCCCGTCCGACGCCCTGCAACTCACTCCTACACCCCAAACTCTCACTTTTGCTATGCTACATCATCGCATGCCCTCATTACAACATACAGAGCCACAAACTGACTTATACACACAATCGCTTTCCCTCTGTCGTCTTACTTCCATCATTATTCTTCTTCTCCATGTCTTCACAGTTCATCTGTTCCATTCTTCTCCACCCCTCCCCCTCTCTCTCTCTCTCTCTCTCTCTCTCTCTCTCTCATGCATTTCTTCCTTCTTCTTTTTTTTCTAACTTAACCCTCTCTCTTTAAATTGTTCTCTCCCTGACACTTTCTCTCTCTTTCAGTATTGTTCAATTATGTTTCTATGATAGATCCTCATATATTGTGTGTGACTGTCATGAATTACATTATAGAATATGAATAGGCAATAAATTTGCATTTTAATATGGTTCAAAATCAAACAAATCTTCAGTATTTACTTGTCACACACTCAATTAATCAGTCTCGATTTCTATTTAAAATATGAATATTCCTCACTTAACAATAATTATAAAAAATAATACTAATGACGAATCTATTCTATTTTTATCATCAATTTGTTTGCAAGTATGGAATAAGTAATAAGTTGTCACCTATTGTACTGTGTATTATTTGTACTTGTCTATATTAAGTTTTGTTGAGAGGCTTTTTAAAACTGAGCTTGTAAAACTAATTCTACTACTACCACTACTACTACTACTACTACTACTACTACTACTACTACTATTACTACTACTACTACTACAGTCAGAAATATCAACATGCACACCAAACAAAAAATAAAGCACATACAAAACAGACTTTGTTTGGGTATTCCATGATGAATACTTAAGTATAATACCTCCTACAAAATGTGAGGAAAAATTGAGTTTTGTGACACATGCTCCTACTAAAATTGCTTCACAATAGTTCCCAACATTAAATGAATTACTAACTTTAATCCTGGACCAATACTATACCTAACCCTAAATCTTGCTTAAATATTAATCTAACCTTAACCCTAACCCTACAATTTTGTTAAACTAAAGCCCGGAACAATTGTCAACACAGCAATTCTCGAATTGCAGCAAACCAACATCGTGTTCCTGAAATCATATTTACTACATGGTAATTTTTCTTCATTTACACTATTATATTTCAGCATGACCTATGTACAATAAAACCGGTCTGTTTGTATATTTTGAATGGAATGTATAGCACTATTATCCCCACAAAAAATAGCAAATGTTATTGAAATAATGTATATATTTACACAGGTGATATATCAATAGCCTCATACAGAAGCTATGCCGTAAACATGTTTACAACTTTACAATGCTTTCATTTGTTACATATTTAATGTACAAAGAGCAATAGCTGCAGTCAGGTTTAATACGCCCACACAAATATGGATGTGTTGCCCACACCTGAAACATAGCACAAGAGATAATAAGGCCAGTCAAAGTAAATAATAAGAATGAAGTACCGGTAGGCACTTGGTCACCTTTGAATTCAGAAAACTTATGGAGCTTTTAATAACTAGTTTGTGATATTTAACATGGTTACAGAAAAGAAAAGAAGCCATATAGGAATTTAGATGATGACAGGGGACTAATAATTGTCACCTCTTATGTTTTAGTACAGTATTCAACTTTTGCAAGAAATAATTTCAAGGAGCTTGTAGAATGGTAATCATCTTGCTATCTAGCAACACATATCAGAAAAACCTGAACAAATAGTTAGGCAGGGGGTTACCAACTTTTGCATGAGCTATAAGACACTACATGTAATATATGCCTCCGTGGCGCCTTAAAGTGATCTCATTTGGTTCTTGTGTACATACACATCTTTAAAAAATAGTATGGTTGAATGCTCAATATTTTTGCTTGTTTGGGTTTATTTTTTATGTTGAAATCATCTTGTAATACAAGCTTATAAGTGGTATACCATAACCATTCTCATATCCTTTTATCATTATTCTAATCATTTTACAAACTATTTAAATCACATATAAGGTTTATTAGTTGCAAGATGATTGTACACCTGAAGTTGACTTTTCCTGAATGCCATTACGATAATACCATCAAATAAATATTATCTAATGGACTTTACATAAAGTGCTAAATTATTAATGCAGTTTTGGCAGAGATAAGGTGCTCAAAGGATATCTTTCGGCACCCATTTCCTTCATCTGAGGCCTAAAATAAAATAATAATAATAATGATTCCGCTTTTATATAGCGTATGATGTCTCTAAGTGCTTTACAGATATATTATTACCCCGGTCATCAGATTCAGGCTTACCCGCACACTATGTATGCACATTCTCTACTTCCTGGGGATCATTCCAGCCAGGTGTCATTTTTACAAGTGCACACTTGCTCATCTAACCACATTAACTTTCGCATCCTACATACCGTAGCTCTTTTCCATTTTCGTAAGGAATTTTGTACATCATAGGGCCGGCAGAAATACATCTCACTTTTCAGAATACCTACGCTTATTCTTTAGGGTGAGGTTTTGTGAGGTTTCCTCTAACAATAGTGGATGATCGACCTTTCACAAAAATTTGTAGTATAATGAAACAAATGGATATCCCACATTTATCAAACTACACACCCTATTTGTTTAACTTGTATAATCTTAAATTGTTTGCTCTAATTCAAACCCAAATTAAATATCATCAAAATACAGTGATATTGAGTTCTGTAAACTCTTACAAATTACACTTTTTCAAATTTGTGTAACCTCCAAGAAACTTGCAAATTATTTTAAATAATTAAACCCTTTAGATATAAAGTGTGAAATTTTATAGTCATAGGTTCTGAAACTTCTTTGTAAGAAATCAAAATATAGCGCTCTTTTCGATTGCCACAGCAGGAGCTTTTTTTTCAAATCAACACTAGTGAACACATATTTTTTTACTTGAGACAATTAAATATCTGGAATTAAACATTAAAAAAATATTCACTGAAAAATCTCCATTTAATGTCTCGTTGAATCAACCTTAACCTTAGGCTGATCATACCAAGGGCCATGCTATTAGCCTCTGCCAGGTCCCTCTCAGTGCGTGTGTGAAGCTGCGTAGACCTTGTACTTAAAGGGATCCCATATGAAATCTGTTGGTTTGAAAAATAAAGAACAGAGCTTCCATTTATTTTTTGGTCTCAAGAACAGTGTGAACAGTGCTAACAATAATATATCTTGGAGTACAATTCATTCAAATGTCTACAATTTCTTCCGAGATGAATTTTTTCCCTATCATACCATACCATACTATCATATCATATAATATAATATACAAATATTGTCTAGTATTAAGTATTCTACAATTGTTGTAATCTTGTACCTGTACACTGTATTGCCAATACTAACAAATGGAAAGGTTCACATTGTTTTTCCCCAATAATTATCTATAACATAACAATCTATAAATTGTATTATATGCAATGCTCTACAATTTCTATGTGGATAAGTCACAGTACAGCATATATCAAATGAAATGACTTTCAGGAACAAAACAATAACAAAGTTGAGTTATTATCATATACTAGTATATATTCTAAGTAAAGACAAATATACTCAAGAGTTGGTTTGATCGGTCATTTTCATACCGTAAATACATTTCATGCAAAACATCTTCTTTACCTGCCTCTTAATAAATCATTTCATTCTCCTGCTTTGAAAAATTGTATTTCAATAATAAACACTTTCAGAATACCAATACCACACATTACGTGTTGTTAGGTCAGGCAGGCCATAATGTTTACCCAACCTACATGTAGCAACAACTAATCCTCACAATTTGCATTCTGACTACCGGTATTGAGGTACAATAATAGAAAACAGGTGAATGTACATGTACATGTAATAGCTCATCGCAAGGTACACGTACATGTATGTTTACATTTGAATACATTTTGAAAATTGTCTACTACATGGGCATATTAGTCAATTATGATCCAAAAGCATCAATTTTTACATCCATTCATTGAAAAACTACATTGTACATGCATGCAGCACTTAATAGCCATCAATAAAAAAAATTGTGAAAAAATGGGGTAGGAGTCTTAAATACATGTACCTTGATCATTGAACACCCCTAAGTTTTTGTTACAATCCATCTACATTGTACATACCTCATAGATTTGCTGCTACTGTTACACTGGATCAACTTGATCTACCACTTTTTTCAAAGGATAATCAAGAGCCCCTTCTCACAATCGGTGGAGTACACATGCCATTTCTCCTTTATCTTGACAGTGACCTTGTGCCTTTGCGTTGATTGTCATCAAGTGTCTACCTGCCCCTCTGAAAAATGAATAAGCATTTTAAGAATTATAAAATTATATCAAATATCTAACATATCATACAGATTACATTACAGGATCAAAAGAAAGTATTCTTATAATATTTCAGTACACTACATACATGTACAGTACTGTATGTGTAGGTGATAGATCAATATGTCTACATGTGTACATGCTAAACCAATTAGAAATTTATTTGACAAAGCCAAAGAAATCCATGTTATGTAAGCAAAGGATATACAAATCTTCCAATAAATATTTGCGAAAAGCATCTCAAGTATACAAAACAGTGATAATTACACAAATCTTGTGTATGTGAATATTGTTGAAGATGTACAGTACATGTACATGTACACCCTGTATAGGAGGCAATTCAAATTTCATAACAATGTGATTCAATCTCTGTATGACCATAGGATTGAATGTGTACATGTACATGTACAGAGTACTACAAAAAATTGCCACATTAAAGCTAATGTCAAAAGGACTTCACAGAGGATTTGAAAAGACTAAAATGTGATTTAAGTTTCATGAGCTGCTATGTAAAATGATTCAGCAGTGTACTGGAGTACTAGCACTATTCTAAAGGATTTTCTCAGTGTCACATTATAAGACATTATACAAAGCAATATTTTTGAATTTTTAACTAACAATTTCCTACTCGATTTGTTGTTTTCCTACATTCTTGTATGGCTGGTAGTTTGTCTATCCACAACATGTACTCTCTAGGTGAAATTTTACAGGAACCAGTAGTGAATTTGATCTTTGTTTGCTTTATTACCTTCATGTATACAGTAGCAGGTAATTTTACATGTACATGTACCATGCATTAAAATGCATATTTGCCCGGTCCGCAAACTAACAGTTTTGAGCGGGCAATATTTCCTGATAGTTTCTCTCTTTCGGGTTTCACCATTCACTTTGAGTACAAAGATTGTGTTCCATATTGGACCTTTCAAACAGCTAAAATCGCCGCAAAGTTTGAGCAGACTATCATGCGGCGCGGTAGTAGGGTATAGTGACCGTACGTGATTCACAAATGAATAGGTAATAATTATAATCTTTTGGGAGATACAGTGATATGCATTTATATGTACATGTATTGCCCTTACTGAATCAGTGAAGGCAATACAGGGTGTATTACCTTGTTTCTCCCTCAAGGCCAGTAATATTATGTAAATGACAATCATGTTAAGCTCCAATTAATGACAGGTTATGCCAAACTATACCATTTGAGAACCCTTCATCCCAAATCTTCTACATAGGTGAATTTCACATATCTTGGGGCAAAGAATGTGATCCATAATAGCTATTCATAACCATGTACAGTATCATCATGATATTCAAACTACATGTATCACATCAAATGTAATACATACCAACATATTTGATTTAGAGAGGGCTGTGTTGTTGTGAGGAAAAGTTTTTGCCCTGAATTTTTGTTAACATTTTTATTTACATAAGGGTGGTGTTGATATGCTTACTATTATTTACATAAATAGAAAATGAATTAATGTGACACCTACATGTACAGGGTGTATATCAAGATTTTTTTCTCAAAACTATTGCAGCTACAATGTACCATTTAAAAAAAAAGGTAGGCTATTTGCTTAGAAGTCAGGGTCAGCAAGACAACCATTATTGGAAGACATTGGAAGATCACATTACCCAAAACAAAGTATTCAGAATTTTGAACCACATTGCTCACTTCATCACTGTATGGAAAG